ATGCCTGGGTTGTGGGCTCGCTCTCCAGTGTGGGGCGTGCAGGAGGCAGTCGATCAATGATTCTCTCTCATGTTTCTATTTTTCTCTCCCTTACCCTTCCTCTCTGAAACCAATAAAAATACATAAAAAAATAGATCCCAAAAGACTGGCATATAGTAAGTGCTTCTTAAATGTAAGCTATTGTTACTATGTTACTAATACTACTGTTATTATATTATGTAAAAGAGTAGAAAGCCAAAGAGTAAAAAATGAAATGAAATTTTCAAGTTTAATAAAGAAATATGAGGAGGAGCTTAATCTTGAGACTTGAATTGATCCTTGATGCCAAGCACCAGAAGGGGAAAGGTATGGGCAAAGGCAACAAGAACTGAACATATTATAGACAGGCGATAATACCCACACCATTTTTGTAGATGTAAAGAGGTCTTGACAGATACAATCAATTAAGGACATGGACACTGAAAAATAAAGATAATATTTGTACCCACTTTATTGACTAAGAGCAATACCTGGCACATAGTAAGTCCTATGCAGTGCTAGGTATTCTTATCATAATCAGAGAAAAGAACTCATTTATAGATAGCTTTGAGTTCCAGGATAAGAGTTTTGGATTTGATCTTTAGGCAAAGTGGAGTCACTGACAATTTTAAACAGGGAAGAAGGTGATATAATAACAACTAATCTGGTAATAGAATGTAGGATATTTTTTGGAAGTTGGGGCAGGGTGTAGGGCAGATGTGGATGGATCTCAGCTAGAGATGGATAGATTAATAGTGCAGAGTGAAGAACAGAAGTGGCAGTGGTAATATGTATATGCAAGGGACATCATAAAGGAATAATTTCTAGGTTAGTGAGGAATACACATGAGGTCATTAAGGTGACTAAAGTTTCTAAATCTCCTGGTTGAAGACTGGGAAAAATGTGATATTATTGCCAGGGGGGGAAAATCATAAAATATGGCCTGTTTTGGCTGGAAAAATAAAACAAAGATTATTAAAATAACTTAGATTTTTAAAAAATATATTTTATTGATTTTTTACAGAGAAGAAGGGAGAGGGATAGAGAGTTAGAAACATCGATGAGAGAGAAACATCGACCAGCTGCCTCCTGCACACCCCCCACTGGGGATGTGCCCGCAACCAAGTACATGCCCTTGACCTGAATCTAACCTGGGACCCTTGAGTCTGCAGGCTGATGCTCTATCCACTGAGCCAAACCAATTAGGATTTGGCAAATAGCTTAGATTTTAAAAAACACTTTCACATACATGAGTGTGGTTTGGAAAATGATGAATTCAAGGTAATGCTGGTACACTCAGCAAGCAGTTGCCAATAGTGAACTGAAGCTTATGAGAGAGGCTAGGATTTTGTAATCATATATGTAAATGTAATAGTTGGAAAAGCTTAAAAGGATGATTTCTCTGAGGAAGAGGTTAGATAGAAAAAAACCACACAGCCCTAACCGGTATGGCTCAGTGGATAGAGTGTCAGCCTGTGGACTGAAGGGTCCTGGGTTCGATTCCAGTCAAGGGCATGTATCTTGGTTGCGGGCACATCCCCAGTGGAGGGCATGCAGGAGGCAGCTGAGGAAGAGATTAGATAGAAAAAACCCCCACAGCCCTAGCCGGTATGGCTCAGTGGATATAGAGTGTCAGCCTGCGGACTGAAGGGTCCTGGGTTCGATTCCAGTCAAGGGCATGTCTCTTGGTTGCGGGCACATCCCCAGTGGAGGGCATGCAGGAGGCAGCTGATCGATGCTTCTCTCTCATCGATGTTTCTAACTCTCTATCCCTCTCCCTTCCTCTCTGTAAAAAGTCAATAAAATATATTTTTAAAAAAAAGAAAGAAAAACCCCCCACAGTTCTGAGGCTTGCACAGTCACAGTTTAGGATGGTTTGAGAAGCAAGATAAGCCAGTGGCAAAGATGCAATTGGAATTGACTGGGAGGTAAGAAGATGCTCAGCAAAGTCTAATATGGACAACTAGCGGCCCAGTGCATGAAATTTGTGCACTCGGGGGGGGAGGGGTCCCTCAGCACAGCCTGGGCCCTCTTGTAGTCTGGGAGCCCTTGGGGAATGTCGGACTGACATCTTAGGCCCAAGTGGGCCTAAGTCATCAGTCAGA